GGACGACACGTGAAAGGGAAGATTCGATGGCTCAAATGACGGCGCACCTTGAGCCGGCAGCTTGTGGTCACGATGATCCGCAACGATTATTTTTCACGCCTCAGGCCGCAGCTTCTCACGCGGTCTTCTCCCCCTTCGTGAATGATCTTTTCATTATCGTACGCTCGCCTTTTGCAGAACGGACGAGAGAATGCATAGACGCGTACGATTTTGATCAGCAGAGATACCATTAATTATCGGAGCAAATTGCTCCGATTCCTTCATCTCTTCCTTCGATTCCGCCGAGTTAATATTTGCCGTTGTAAGTAATCATATTGACCCTCGGCGAAGTGTGCTTGCTGCGATTCAATTGTTGTGGTTTCACTCAATTATTACGACGGATGGTCCGAAACAAAAGAAATCCTCCTCAAGTGGGCTTCCTGAACCGCGATCTACCACCTAAAGGAGGAAAGGGGGAGCCATAAACAAAGGCGACCGGCAAACAATGCCAGCTACAAGAGCAAACACGACATCCACCTTTCACAGAGCGCCGCGCATAAAACTGAAGTGCAAGGTACAAGTTCACAAGAGAAAAGAGACAGCTCTTCTCTCTCTTCGCTCTCCCCTCCCCCTTCCTCCTGCCCTCCCGGCCTCCTCTTTCCACCGAACTCGGCAAAACTTAAGTCGCGAGGGGGATGTGTAGCTACGGGAAGTAACGGTGCGCAGAGCCACCCTAGCGTTTAGCGTATGTGTACGTTTTATACGGCAAGTTTCGCTATAAATCACCCCGTTTCGCCGGCTAAGTGTGCACGCGGCGAACTACTTCGTAACCAGATAAGTGGTTACCGGAGAATCTGTCGTGTTCTGTAAACGGCAGATTGTAACACACACAATAATATTGGCAATTTATCGATATTAACAAGTAATCCTTTTCACTTTTGTTACGCACATATATAGAAATAACGCGATCAAGCGTCTCGCGTACCACGCGAGATTCAATCTAATTTTCTCGCTCCGAGCTAGAAACTACTACTATTATTACTATTATTATCTCTGACACTTCGCAAGAGATTCGAATGCATTTTGGGTGACATCTAAGCGACGCTGTCCATTGTGCCCCTCTTTCTATTAAATGAGTTAGTTCACCCAAAGGACACCCTTAATCTTCATCTCAAATCTCATTCCATTATCGCTGGAATAATAATTACTTCCCGCGTAATTGTCAGTGTAAAGAGAAAGGATAAGTATTTCATGAAAAATATTGGAATAGTGTCGTATCATCGTTTCAGCAACTTATTATTTACAGCTGATTAAAATTTACTTCTTTTATAAATTACGAGGGAACGATAGAAATTACGATAGAAACGTCAAACTCGGAGAAACTCCGTTTCTTTAGTATCTCATCGACCGGCGCATTAAAATATCGCTCTCTCGCGTTATCGAGACACTCTTCCGCCTGTGAATGACATGCATGAAAAGTAATACAAATTCGATAAGTCGCCACAGGCACTCTACGGGTGAAAATGGAAAGCGCACATCGGGCGAATTTCCCTCGCAATTCCGCGCGCTCTTTGTTGGAACCGGGATGGCTTTTGCATTTCTAATGTTTTTTCGGATAGAAAATCGACACACACGTCGCGAGCTCGTCGAGGGCCGCGTTGGGAAGGACGGACTTTAAAGAAGCGATGAAACAGCTGCAGCCACCTCGAAGGAACGGTTTGATGTAGGGATAAAGCGGTTAGCCGGCAAACTCCCTGCCTCTTTCTCGCTGCCAAAACGGTGGGAGATGGGTATCTCTGAAAATAGGATTGGTGCTCGGCACGCATTGTGCCGAGAGGACAGTGTCTCTCCATCTCCGTCTATGCTACCGCTCCTTCTATCTCGTCTTATATTTATAGCTTTCGCCTTTTCCACCGTCGTTCGCGCGCTTAATTCGACCGCTTCGTAGAATACGCTTTTCTTCTGGGAGCTGGAAGGAAAGTAATCCGACGAGTATGCACGAACCTGGCATGTGCACCAGGAGCGCCAGGTGTGTCCTGATTTATCACGACTGCTGGAAGTTGACTGGAGGACGAGCGGGAGGACGACGGGTGTTGCAGGACTGGCGCGCTGGATCTCTATCCGATCAGCTTATTAAAATTTCTGACGGTGCATCCCGATGCAACGTATCCGACAGCGATGTCGATTGTATAATGTATACATGCGCGTAGTTTCCATGTCGAGTTTTTTACGGCTTCGTTTATTAAACTCTCTCAATCCATCTCTTTTTCTCTCTTTCTCTCTACTTTTTTTCTCTTGGAGATATTCGTGTAGGCGTGACGCACGAATAGATTGACGAACATGTTGTACGAACGAGCTCGACGGAAAGCACGGCAAGCCGAGCGCTCTTCTCTCGGCGAGACGATGTAAATATCTATAATTCCCGCGTCATTCACGCCGCGTAAGCTTTATGGACCGCTTTATTATTGGAGAGTGGCTCTCTCGCCTCTTGCGCGTTTATTGTACGCTGGAAAAGCTTGAAACGGGGAGTAGGAGAAATGTCCAAGGGAGAGAATGTACGTGCGTAAAGGTTTAATATCTTTCCTGCATATCAGAATTTACGATTGGATTTGACATAAGCCCCGCGTAGCGAGTAAGCAAGATTTACAGTATACTTAATGACTCGCATGCTAGCAAGCGCGCACACACGATTCTGGATCGGCATGCTCGCTGTTTTTGTGAGGCTGCGCGTCTAACACGGTTCAGATGTTCCCACGCTAGGCAAGCAGGTGTTGTGGTGAAACCGACGATTAATTATCCGCATCCCATTTAATAGTACGGACGGGTCGATTAATCACGGTACGGCGACTGTTATAACCAATAAAAAGTTTCGTATGCGATCCCGGGAATGCGATCCGAAACCTTTAAATTGATTTTTGATCGATTATTGCTCTGGTATTCAGAGAAAATATTCAAAATAGAATCAGCTCGTGTCAGAATGCTTTTTATATTCGATTTGTACTATTCTAGTTTAGTAAATAAATTTGTTTTCGTACTAATAAAAGTGAAAAAAATAAAGATTCTCTCTTCTTTTTTTCTCTCTTTCTTTCTCTCTTAATTCTATGTTTGATATATTTTTAAACAATCGAATAATCTCCATATATTGTTTATTTGTATACTTTGATAATATTTTCTCTCAATAAAATTGCTACAGTATTTAAAATCCGAAGAAAATTATTTTATGAATATATTCATCATATATATATTTATAACGTATACAATTTATGTAGCCTAAAATATCAATTGCTTGAATATTGTATAGATATTTTGAGAAAAATCATAAATTATGCAATAGCGATGTATTTTTATAACTACCATAAATTCGTTAAAATTCAATATACATTCCAAGTTTTTTCTCAATAATATGTACATTATGTTATAAATATTGAGGGAGAAAGATAGAAATATTATAATTTAATCAAGTAAAATTCAACAAATTGGATAAAACCAGTATTTTATGCGAATAAGTAATTAACCGCCATATTTTTTCATTTATAAATCCCTAGTCGTTGAACAGCCAGTCAAAAAGAAAAAGTAACTCCCGAAGGAACTGCGTCAAAATTTAATACCATTGAGAAACGTACGTGCTAACGCTTACTTAATACCTACTCCACAATATAAGCCGACGTTATTAAGCTTCGAGAATATTTCGGAACACTTCCCCAGAAAAATAACAACATTCGATGAAATGAGAAGGGTGCATTTCATTACAAACTCGTCCGACAACTGCTCGATCTCATTGGGATTAGGAGTATCGGAGAATTAATTATAAAGGCCAAAGCCATGGACGAGGAAAAAGTACTGTAATATGTTTACTGAGGAAGACGTGGGAGATTTAATTTGTTTAACAACTTTCGGGAAAAAAATGATTCTCAATTACATGCTCGTTATTGACTTTTACGAGTCAGTTTTCGTATCTCACTTAGCAAAAACATTTTTCCTGTTTCAACAATAAATTTAAATATTTATAGCATTCACCTTCCCTCTCTCGTTCTTTCTCATACATACACGAAAAATGCACACATGCATATATGCATTACATATATGTATTATATAATATTATTATCACATAATATCACCTATATTTAGTCATCTTCTTATAAAAAAATCGAAAAAATAAAACATCTTATTATATTTCTATAATTTTAATATGTTAAATAATATTTATTACTTAATCATATATACTATATCTTCTATATCTCTTCTTTCATAATATAAAAATTATACAATAAAATGTATGTTTCTATTCAATTTTAAAGCAATATATAACATATAATACTATGTAATAATAAATACCGATTGAAAATGAAACATTCTGAATTCATAAAGATTAGTAACAATTCAAATTAATCTTGATTTAATATTTTTAATTCAGTTCCATTTTTTTTTTAATCAAGAGTACAAGAATAAAGAAGTCGTAGGAAAACTTAATGAAAAGATTCTTTCTAAAAAAAGCTAAATAGCCTTTCAAGAATAAGAGCACATAATGACCTTAAAGGCCATTCACTTGCAGCTTCTACCGGCACGCTGAACGTTTAATGAAAGATTTATTTTATTGTGTGTTTCGTAAACTTGTGTAACTAGGTAAGCTTTCTTCCGTAAATCAACGCAACGCGAGTCTATAAAAGCATCGTGTAAACACGGGACAATTTAACGCGAGTCGATAAAGCCCTATTTTAAGGGCAACGCGCGCCAAGGAAAATGCATATTTAATCAGTCTACCGGATGCGATATCGTAAAACGGTATATGTACATATATATATACATATATACACATATGTACACATGTGTATGTGCCGGAGTATAACCGGTAAACAGCTGACCCGAGAAAATCCGTGAACCAGGAACGCCGCTTCGGCAAGCATCGAACTTCCAGCTGACTTATCGCACGAAAACGCGTGTGACTCATGGTCGACGTATCGTATCGTATTTTAGGGATAAATTTGAGGAAGGAGCGAGAGGGCGAGTGGGTGGATACTTACACCGAGCGACGCAAAGTGTCAGTGAGTTTCCTCGGACTTGTGCACATCGACCCGATACACCCGAGCGAATTTTTGCCACGCACTCGTCAGATTCACCCCGTGAGACCCCCGCGGTCTGGGGTTCCACCGATGAACTTGTCCAGTGATAGATACCCGCCGATACGATCAGGCGGAACACGCACGTCCCATAGCGCACTCGGCCCGAGCCGAATTAATGAGATTCTCTCGAATCACCGGATCGCCGATACACGTGACTCGCCATGAAGACACCTTGAATTGCCGGGGCTTGTCCAATATATTTCGCTCGTATCCATCAATCCCGAATCGCTTGTCGCGCGTGTTGATCGCGCGCCGAGTGCGTGTTGACGGACAAACCGCGAGTGAAACAGTTGAGGAAGCGGCTTTTGCGAGCAAAGAGAATGCTTATGAGAGTAGGGACGATAGAAGATAGATGATGAGAGGCGAGGAGAGAAGTCAGAGAGAGAGAAAGACGGGAGGAAGCTTGTAAAGAAAGGGAGAAAAGAGAGGAAGGGGTGGAGAAAGAAAGAGAAGATAGGAGAAAGAGAGAGAGAGAGAAAGAGAAAGAGAGGAAAAACGAAAGAACCGCGGATCGCTCCCGGAGATTTCGAACTGCACTGCAAACGGGGACCACAGTCCTTACTGAGCCGGAGTTTGACTACGTACTCGCGGCTGCGAGACTTTGGGGTCTGCGCAGTCGGTCACTCACCACCACCATCGCCACCATTTCCACCACCCTAAACCTCCACCATGGTTCTTCTCGACGCCAACCCTACCTGCCTGCTCCGCCCGGCAGCGCCCTAACTTCGCCGCATGGAGAAAGCCTCGAGTCACGCGTGAGTCGTGATTCTTATTCATATTCGCGCGAAATTGCATCGGACCGGGCGGGTCTCTCCGAGGATTATTTCGCGGATTACGCGGGCGATCGCGGGGGTAGCGAGGAATGGAGAAGGCCGAATGGAGAGGGTCGCCGGTATCGGCTTTAGCGTAATAGGAATCGTAATTACCTCTCTCTTACGACGAGTATTTGGCTGGGAATGTTTGCCGCTATCGGACGGCATAATATTGCGAGGATATAAATGCCGACGTCGTTGTCGTAAGCGACGCACGTAAGGGAGGCGTTAGCGAAAAGCTCGTAATCGTACCTGGCCGTAAATTAATTAAAAATGGTCGGTTATGTGTCCCGCCCGCGTTCTCGCATCTCGTAATTAATTACGTTGTTTAATTAATTAAGCATACGAATACGAGCGCAAACGTCGCGGATGCAGCTTATGCGCGATCGTCGCCAAATAATAATTAAAACTTACGGTGCCTAGAATCGGTTTAGAAATTCGTTTTACTTTTTACCACTAAAGCTGTAATTTTTAATTATTATGCTTGGCAGTAAAATTATAACTGTGTTTTCGCAGCTCGTAGTATATATAACTTTTAATCTAGACAACGCGATGTGATAATGATCGCATTAATTATGATATGATAATACTGCCTCAATCATGCATATATTAAATCTGATAAAAATGTATAAAGGAGCAAAAGAGTCAAAAAATTGAGTTACACATATAAAATGTATATATTATATATATGATAATAAATAAATATTTAAAGGCTCTCTTATATCGAATGAAAATATGCATGAGGTGTTTTTCTGTATTCCTCTATTTTTTATCTTTTGCTTCTGTATGTTACATAACGTATATGTAGCTTATTATAACGTAACATTATTTTTATAATTATAATTTAATAACATTTTTGTATTTTTTTATATAATAAATTGAACTTATCCATTTACGATTAAATAATATATTAAACAAAAGTTGTATGTATAGCGATGCCATTAGAATTCTCGATAGTTGATTTTTAAAAGAATATTCGCTTCTTTCTTATATTATATAACAGTTCTGTAATTATTGCTTCGTAGAAATAAATGACATGTATAAAACTTTGATATTACTGCTAAAGGAAATGTCTGTATCAAGTTCACGGCTAAAAAAGTTTCCGTCGGGAAACAAGAAAAATCTTATCCGAAGTCTCACGCTGGCTAAAGTTCGTTGCTCTGTACATGTTCCCGCACATTCTACGGCACATTGGAGCTTTGCCAAAGTCATTCTCACATAATTTCGCGAGAATATAAGACTCGAAAAATAGATGAAACTTATATAGATGATATATATATATATATCTGTAGAAAGATTATCACGAGTATTGCGTCACAAATATTTAAGACACTTGCCTCAAATGTCTTCAATTCATAATATTTCATTTTCGTTTTCATCTACGTTAACGTGAATAACTAGACAATATTTAATAAAAAGCAGTAGCTTGTTTAAACAAATAATGATAAAAAATATTACAGCTTTTGGATTAATTGCTAAATATTTTTTATACGCTGATTAAAAATTATTATTTTCTAATAATTATTTTAAATATTTATCTCCAAAGCATTGATGTACACATATCCAGTTTTACGCAAAATTGTTTACAGATTCATCGAACAATTCAAATGGCATCTCATCGCCATCTATTGTACATCTTTATAACAATTTAGCATCAGTTTTAATAAAATAAATCGATCGATAAAAATTTTTATTGTTGCATGTATACAAAATATTTATTATTATATTACTTCAGCATTATTATGCTTTATTTATTATACATTTAAAAAAAAAACTTCACAAAATTATTTCAATTTCTGATATTTGATTTCAGATATTTGATCAGAAATGTACATATTAAATTATTATCTTTTTACAATTTTTTTATTAACACGCTAAGCGGCAAATAATTCAGTAAATATGTTGAAACGTCTTATTATCTATGCATATATATATCAATCATACTAAATAGTTATTTCGCATAAATAAATATTTAATAAAATAACAAATAGTGCAATATATTTTATAATTTATTACTTATGCAAATAGTTGATAAATATGTGCATACGTAAAAAAGTAAAAAAGTATCTGTTTAAAAAGAATATAAGTTTTATAATTATATGAAATACCAGAGTAACGACACATAAATTGATATTAAAGTGGATGCATAAATAGAGATCACCTGCTAGACGGTTCTAAGCCTTGATGCGTATGGCGCATCGTGAATAAACACGATAAAATGAGAACAAAATGATATGCATACGTGAAAAATGTGTCTGTACAATATCGCCAAGTATAAAGTAGCATTATTGTTGTACATTTATAACGACGTGTATATGTGTATCATGTCTAAATATTTAAATATTCTCCTCGAGGCATGAAAAAAACTTTTCAAATTTTTTCATTAATTCCACACACATGAGTATATCAAACTGTATAAATAATTCTTACTTGCAGATATTAAAAATATATCTTTTATTCAGCAAATACATGCATTGTGTACTAATGAAAAATTCAAATTGATGGATAGTTATTCAAACCGTAACAAAGCATAAGCGTTGAGGGACGAAGAAAAGAATAGGAAATGATAATCAAGATTTTTATAGATGTATGATTCTAATATAATTTACTTGTATAAATAATTTTTACGCTTTCTTTCTTTCTTTCTCTCTCTCTCTTCCTCCTCCCCTCTTTCTCTCTTTCTCTCTATCACTATATCTTTTGATATTTACAGCACATGTATTTACACAATTTATCGATTTACCGAGAATCCACTCTCATTAATCTCCTAGACGTACATTTTCGACCGGTTGATTCAGAATACTCGACGTTACGTTCCATTAAATGTGAATCCTGCCGTTGCTACGTTGATTCTCTCGTTAAGCGTTCGAACAAGAGGGAAAAAAAATAAATCCACGGCACGCTCTTCGTACGCGGATCAGAAAGGGAAAAATTAATCCGAGACGATAATTCAACGGCGCGCTATCGGGAAAGCTAATGTCAATCGCAAAGTTAATCGATGCTCTCCTCATTCGTTACGCCGCTGATACGAGTGGGGTTGGCAGATCGTTGATTCTTCCCTACCCCTTTTCCGTCAACATAACGGGATTCCGAGATTCCCAGGGTTTCGTAATACATATATACTATTTTATATCAACCCTGACCTCCTCGATCGTCGATTCTGACGAATGCAATTCTTCGAAACTGAACGGAGCATCGTTCAATCACGCACCGACTGCATGAACAAACAACTTGTGCACAGACAAGGAGAGTGACACGTATCATATCCGACCCATATCGATTTCCCATTGTCCTCTTCGAATCTGAATACATATGTGCAGTAGCGACGACTCTATGGGGATGCAAATGCATATGCAAACGCTCACCAGCGCGAACAGCAATCGGAGCTTAAAAAAGCATCAGGATCTCTTGTATAAAATGTACCCATTAGTAATCATGCGAGAAACGATACTATTAGAAACATACGCATAATGCTTTAGATAAATTTGATCGGCTTTTAAAGATTTGATTTCCGAATTTCTTTTTTTCTCTTTTAGCGAAATATTTAATGTGCAAGTGGACATTTACAAATAATGAAAGTTTAATTTTATTAGCATTATGAAAAATATTGCAGTGAATTCTACGACATGTAAAGTACACGCGATTAACCGTTGAATTTTTTTTCAAATTAGATTATTATATGAGATATATATCAAGAATCCTTCGATAGAATTAGACATGAAAGTTCGCATTCTTCGTTTTCATAATACATCGTTTTATCATGACAATCGACTGAAGCAGCGATTTATTTGCCGAGGTAGCAGAATATTTTGCTAACTCGATTCACGCTCATTATATCTCGGTTATAATATGCACGCTTTTTATTTATGTGATGCTTAGTCCATAGTTTAATCTAAGAGATGGTAAATGTTTCTGGACTCGTCAGAAATAATCGTAACAGCAGAATTTTTTTAATATGAGGATGTGTAAATATATCTTTGTAACATGTATGGCTTGTGGGAAATTAATCTTCAAATTAATCTCTTTAGTTTACCTAGTTTTCATCTGTTCAAATATACCTTATGCAAACGTTAGGATTGCAATACGGATGTTTTGGAGCATTTTGGAGCTGTAATCTTTGAAGAAGCTCGAAAATCATCATCGTTTGTTTCGTCGCATAGCGACGATAGACCGAGAGACGTTTTTGTTAGAAACTCTTAAATGGTTTCATGAAACAGCCTCCATAAATTTCGCATTTTTATCTCCTGCCGGCCAGTTGAAGAACGGATACAAGAATATATCTGAGTGCGAAGTGACGCTGTAACTCGTAAAACTCGTTAAATAATCAAGGGGAATAACTGCAGATTCACTGGCGACGCTAGTGAAACACGGACCTTCAAATCGTGACGATCTACAAAACTCATTGCGCAATTATTATTCTGCACAAAAGGTATTAATAAATCTTTCTCTTAAATCGTGATTATATTTCAATATATAATAATCACTTAAAAAAAGATGCATACTTATCCAGATAGAAAATATAATTTCATTATTCCTATTCAAAACTATTACTTATCTCGCTTGCATTTCCGCTCATAAATAATTCTGCATAAAATAAGATTTTTTAAATCGAATACAATCATATCGATTCTTCAAAAAAAAAGAGAAAATTATCGACGATGACAAATCATCTCGTTTCATATAATCGTTATTAACCAGACACGACATGAGATAATTGAAGAGGATATAACAAGCCAGTTTTTTTTCTCTATCGTTTATGCCACAATTATTTAATCCATTCTTATGCGTCGAGAGATGCGCTTTAATTTTGAACCTTGCCTTCCAGCGTCATCTGCGAGCAGCGCGTACTTCGCAGAAACGATACGAGCATGCGCGTGTCTTTCCCCTTCTCCTATGTCGATCTATTCATGTGTGGCCGGTATTAATCAATCAGCTGTTTCAATCGTGAACGTGTTTTTACGAACATTCAACGCGACGTTCGATTATCTTGCATTGGTCGTGATTTCCTGTCAAAGGTGAACGTGAGAAAACGTAAGTACGAACGACATAAGGATGCATTCCGTCTCTTGTTAGAGATGACGAGACGCAGCATGTGTGAATTACAAAATAACGAGTAAATTGCCAGCAATTGCGCAAATACCTACCTGAGCAGAATAATTATCATATTGCAACACTATTTATCGTAAT